GTGTAATTTTGTAGGTATATATATCAAAAATATAAATTAGTAGAGTATATTTAACTTTGAAAAAAAAAAAATTAAGTGGGGGCAATTGCCCCCACTGACCATTGAATGGCTCCGTCCCTAACTAGAGTTATATTAATTATTTACTTTAATATACTTGAACTAATTGTTACCCAAGAATTGACTCTAGAGGGGGGGTGAATGGAGCCAATGACCAATTTTTGCAATTTATAGATTTACAATTTCTAATCAATCAACTTAAGCAATTATGCAATCATCAATATATGAAAGTAAACAATTAATAGCATAATTGTAAAAGATATAAAGGAAGAGAAATTGTAAACAATGACTCGGCGATTTTAGCGAGGTTCGGAAACTCTTACTCCTCATCTCAAGACTCCACTTGAGACTTCCCAATCCACTATAGCTTCTCCTTATAGGTGAAGAGCAAACCTTTACATAAAGTAACTCCTTACTTCATCTTGCTAAGAGAACAACCTTCCCTTAGTCTACCTTTGGGTCACACTAACCCGGTGGCTCAAACCAACCCCTTACAATTGATAATAACAAGAACAATGAAGTATAATAAATCTCTCAAATAAAGAAGTACAATTTTCAGCTCATAACTAGAGTATTAATGAATATAAGTGAAGCTCAAACTCTATAAATGATATGAATAAGAAAAAATGATATAAGTGAAGAACAAAAGCTGTAATGAACTCAATAAGATCTCTCAAGTGTATAATAGAGCAAAAGCTCTATAAAGATTCGAATTAGAGCAAAAGCCCTTTGAATCCCTAGTTAAATCTCTCAAGGTTTGTATATGAGTGAAACTTGGTGCTTTAACATTTTTGACAGATGACAGCTTATGCACAGAACTTTCAATACAGGACATTTGCACATACCTTATTTTCATTCTAAACATTTAAGTAAATGTCCATTTTACTTTAAGTTTACAATGTAAATAAGGAAGTACCCCCCTCCCCCCATTTGGATTCAATAAAAAATATTAAAAAATTGAAATCCAACTAAATCAAAATGTGAAAATTCAGTTTCAGAACAAATTTGGATTTCTGATAGTTTTGGTAAAAATGAATCCTTATGTAGACCAATGTAGAATTGGTAAAAATATCGCATAAAATCAGTTTAGGCTATTTAAAGTGTAAGGAGTAATTACCGGGAAAAATGATTTTGAAATAATCATTATTCCAAAAATTCATTTTTCACACTTAGCCATTTTTCATACTTAGCCAAAAACAAAGTTTTTCATGAGGTGCATACTAGGGTCCTAATGTCCTTTACCAAGGCATGGTTACAAAGGCTTTATAGATTAATAAATAAATTCTAAACCTTAACCTTTATTTTTTAAAGACCAAAGTGAATCATGTAATTGATGTTCATGGTCCTAGCATTCCTAACATAAGTGATGAGTTCTTTCAAAACTTATCCAAGCTTGAACTAACTCATTCTTTAATAATGACTTCATATGTCATATATGATGAAGTTCATAGTATATTGTTAATGAATATAGGAATATATCAATGATTATGATAATATGCATGATCCTATAGAGATGAGTTTCAAATTGATTCATAAATACCTTGACATTGAATCCTAAACACTCACTAATCTATCTAACCCTTTATTCATGCTTTGTCTATGATCATTTATGCTTCGAGGTATACTTGCTTACTTACTTTCTTTTTTTCTTTGAGTTACTTTCTTGCTCGTTGTAGTCCAAGTTATCTTTGGATGGACTTTGCATTTGGTTTTTTGCAACTTCAAGTTCCTTTGTATCCTTTGTTTTCTATAGATGTGATCTTGAGTAATGGAATACTTGGAATGATCTTTATGATCTTCATTGAGGTTCTTCTTTGAATGTAAATCATTTATAACATTCAATGTGAACATTAGTCCTTAAACACCATTAATGGTTTGTAATCATTAAAACAACTAAATTGTCCTTGGATGAAATTCTTAAGGTCAACAGTGATCTTCGGATTGGACAACTTAAGTACTTTGGCTAAATAATTAATGTATTCGCTAATCCCGAAGGCTGATCATCCGAAAAGTACCAACTCCGTCCCAAAAATGTCATGAATGATTAAATATGCCCTAGTGGAAAAAATGAAGTGTCGAGGACTATTCCCGAGCACTTGACCCGGCCTGGGCCCACGCAACCTGAAAATGATAATGCAATAAAATAATTGTGAAAAAAAAAAATTAAAAGAACACGCTTCTTACAAAAGCTGTTCTCAAAGTCTGATCATCCGAAACTGATCACTAAAGTTGATCCCAAAAGATGATCATCCAAAGCCGATCACTAAAGCTGATCACGAAAGCAGATCACCTGAAACCAATCACTAAAGCTGATCACGAAGTCTAATCACCCGATGCTGATCACTAAAGCTGATCACGAAGGGTGATCACCTGAAGTCGATCACTAAAGCTGATCACAAATGCTGATCACCCGAAGCCAATCACTAAAGCTGATCATGAAAGTTGATCATCCGAAACCAACTACTAAAGCTAATCACGAAATCTAATCATCCGAAGCTAATCACGGAAGTTGATCACCAAAGAAAATCACCATGTTGATCACTAAAGATGATCACCAAGGTTATTCACCGTCATTATTCATCAAGGCTGGTCACCTAAGCTAATCAATAAGGGCTAAACATAAGGCACCACCTTAGCCCAATGGGGCACCTCAGCGACAATAGAAGATGTACTTGTAACCTTCTAAAGACCTTGGTTTTTGGGTTCCTTATAAATGCCAAAAGGATTGATATGAATCATCGCTATCAAAGCATATTTTCCTATCCTTTCAAGTGACATGACCATTAGTTCACTACAATTAATCCATACAATTCAAAATACCAGTTACAATTAATTCCCTCTAGTTATGATCGTCACATCAAACTAAAGGGAAATGGGGGCAAAATGTGGGGGGCAAAAAATACCTACCAACTGAAGACGCCACATACACATCACTATGCAAGGACGTAATCCTAAGAAAGCGGATTAGAAGCTGAGAACCCAACTACAAGGCCCGACCCAAATATTAAAGGGATAACCTATACACCGAATAGGCCCAAAGGCTAAAGTCCACAACGCCCAAAACCAAGTCTTGTCTATCACGATTACAGATTCTGCGTGATAAGGAAATACCTACATAACAAGAAGTGATTTGTATTATTAGAGGAAAGTCCAAAAAGGATGCCACTTAGGGTTGCTGTAAACATTATAAATACAGGTAAAAGACCTAAATAAAGATAAGCAAATCTCCATATCTGCTCTTTTGTTTTTTTCTTTGAATATTTCCTAAGAATTGTGCATTTTTCTTTATCTTTATTAAGTGTTAAGGCATTGATTCTTTGATCGGGTATTAGTACTCGATCCGAGATTTTATGCACCTACAATATATATAAGCATTAAGGCCTCATTTGGAACAAAACAATGTTCGTCTTATGTTCAACGGAGGAAAAAGTAATAATTTATACTTTTTCCAACGCCCCTAGAAGTAGAAAAAACCAACTTAAGCTAAAGGTCACCGTTTAAGCCCACTCGTGCGGAGCGAAATAGTTGTGGGAATGTATTTACTACGCCCTAGGGGGCATCGTAATTGAGCTACCTATTCCGACACCCACCATTAGGGATGGTAATTTCCCCTGACCTGGCCCTAATGGTGTGGATTTGGTAGCCCCCTAAATGGGTTTGGGACGGGTATGGTAAAATAATTGAAACCCAAAGCGGATTTGGGAAGGGGGCAGATTTAGTGATGATCGAACCCGCTCCGATTTCGTCCCGATTATTTATGTACGTTTTAAAAAATTATATATATATATATATATAAATTTTAAGACCCTTGTTACTTTACTAAAAATGTTAGTTAATATATTAATATTCACTATTTAGTAATTTCAAAGTTGAGCCAACTAATTTATCAGCCCAATTTGAGCTATTTTTTTTTTTTTTACTAAATAATAAAAGGAGCCCGCCTCAGTCCTGTCCCACAATTAAATGAAGTACGCGTATTAAAATAAGGACGAAAATGGAGCGAAATAGGGTTTAACTAAACCGGCCTCGTTGCCATCCCTATCCACTATGTGAAGTCGGTAAAAGGGTAATTTTTCCAACCAATTTTTAGGCTTCAAAATGGATGGCGTCCTAAATTCTCTATTTTGTTGTAGTGCGTTAAGGCTCTGTTTGTGACCCTTTCGTTATCTGATTTTCTGTTTTCATTACCCCTCTATTACATGGTTTTGGACATTAATATATTTTTCTCTTTTGGGAAAAAGTAAATTTTTTTGTTGGTCTTGGTATGATCAGTCTCTCTTCTCTATCCTCTCTTAACCTACTCTACCGTTGCTAAAATTTTCGGTAATCCAGCATATTGGTTTCTTGTTTGAATTTAGAGAAAACGGAGAAAAGAAGATTCTTGAAATAGATTATAATAATAGAATAATAATGATAATTAACTTTTCGTATTGAGATTAAATATTGATAAAATACTAAATATAAAAGATTTTTTTTTTTTTTTGGGTAAGTAAATGAAGATTTGTTTCTCTTACGTTTGTTCACCTTGTGGCTGCAATCGGTGCTACGACCAATTTTATTTGATTTATGGTATTGTCAAAAAGTGATAATGTAGTAGTATTCAATCAAGGCACTCAATTATTTTTTCCTTCACGTGCATATTGGATATTAAATTGCTTTAATCCACCTGTACAAGCTATGGAGGAGCCAGATGAAAAGAATTGCAAAATAGTGAAATACAGATAGAGAAGTTTGAAAAGTAACTGAAATGGAAGACATTTGGATTCTACTAATGATTAGTTAGTTTAATATATTTCTTTGACTGCGAAATAATTTTAGGACGCTTCATATATATATATAATAAAAAAATAAAAAATAAATAAAAAAAAAAGTGAATATAACATGAAACCGTTATGTTTCACACATTGATTTTACATGATATCATATAATATTCGAGTTGGAGGGCATTTCAAATCCGATACTGTCTATACAATTTTAATAGTTGGGAATTATTTTTTTCTTTTTTTATAAATTTTTTTTGTCCAATTCCATATAGGACACTAAAAATAAATAGTATATTACACTTAGAAGCCTTTTGATTGTCAATTGCGGGTCTAAGATTTTTTTTTTTTTTTTTGCAACTGTTTGAAATGAAGAAGCATTCCATAGCTTTTACACAGGATGCTAGGGGATTTTGATTTTTTTCCGATGCTATAAATCTGGAACAAGTACACTCGGCAAAAGCATTCCACAAAGAGAGACACATCCCACAAAGAGAGATATAGAGATAGAGATAGAGATAGAGCTAGAGAGAGAATGGGTTACATTGCTATGTTAGAGAGGCCTCATGCAGTTTGCATACCATACCCAGCTCAAGGCCACATAAACCCCATGCTCAAACTAGCAAAACTACTCCATTTCAAAGGCTTTCACATGACCTTTGTCAACACAGAGTTCAACCATCAACGCCTCTTGAAATCCCGAGGACCCGACTCTCTCAACGGCCTCTCTTCATTTCGATTCGAAACCATTCCGGACGGCCTTCCTCCCTCGGATGCCAATGCCACCCAAGACATTCCCTCCCTGTGTGCCTCCACCTCAAAACACGGCTTAGCTCAATTCAGAGACCTCCTCTCAAAACTCAACAACACCACTTTGTCCAACGTACCCCCAGTCTCTTGCATAGTTTCTGATGGAGCCATGGCCTTCACTGTCGAAGCTGCCGAAGAACTAGGCATCCCTGAAGTCATCTTCTGGACAACAAGTGCTTGTGGCTTCATGGGTTATGCGCAGTATCCTGCTCTTATTGAAAAAGGTTTCGCTGGATTCAAAGGTATCATCAATTAATTTATCAAAACCCAACTTAATTCATTATCATATCTATAATTTTATACATGACCATTTTGGTTTTAACAGATCAATTAATCTAGTGCAGGTACGAGTTTGGATGCGGTAATAGATTGGATACCAGGCATGAAAGGTATACGTTTGAAGGATATCCCAAGTTTCATTAGAACCACAGACCCTGATGAATTTGTGATTAAGTATCTCATAGATGAAGTTGAGAGATCTAAAAGAGCTAGTGCAATGATTTTCAACACGTTTGAAGAACTTGAGCATGACGTTGTGGATGGACTTTCATCCATGTTTCCTCCAATTTACACAATTGGACCTCTACATTTACTCATCAACCACGTTGACAATGATGATTTGAAGCTTATAGGATCGAATTTATGGAAAGAAGAGGCAGAATGTCTTTCGTGGCTCGACACGAAAGAACCCAACTCTGTTGTTTACGTAAATTTTGGAAGCATTGCTGTCATGACACCCAACCAACTGGTTGAGTTTGCTTGGGGACTTGCTAATAGCAACCAGACCTTTTTGTGGGTGATAAGGCCTGACCTTGTCTCGGGGGATTCGGCTATCCTTCCACCGGAATTCTTGTCCATCACCAAAGAAAGGGGCTTATTAGCAAGTTGGTGTCCACAGGAGCAAGTTCTAACCCACCCGTCCATTGGAGGGTTCTTAACTCACAATGGGTGGAATTCAACTCTTGAAAGCATCAGTTATGGAGTGCCGATGATCTGTTGGCCATTTTTTGCAGAGCAACAGACCAACTGTTGGTTCTGCTGCAATGAATGGGGCATAGGGATGGAGATAGATAGTGATGCGAAGAGAGATGAAGTTGAGATTCTTGTTAATGAGTTGATGGTTGGAGACAACGGAAAAGAGATGAAGAAAAAGGCAATGGAGTGGAAGAAATTGGCAGAAGAGGCAAGTACAAGTTCAGCTGGGTCATCTTACATGAATCTACAGAAAATGATCGACCAAGTGCTTCTCTCTCGGAAAAATTGAACTAATATTAATTAGTAGTTGCTCTTGTTTTTCATTTAATTTGAACCATATTGATAATAAAACAACATCTATATCGAACAATTGCGGGAAAAGACAATTGTTCAAACATTATTTCAACAGTGATTTTCAATAATAATCTAGATTGTTTAGATTGTTATTTGTGTACTTTTGTATTTTCTTTTATAAAGTTGTAGAATAAGAGAAGCTCCAATGGAATCCTGTTTAGCAATTATGGGCCGGATTTGGCCACCCAATATGCTCCAATGGGGTCAACATATTATGGACCAATTTTGTGGCAATCCAAATGGGTCATCATTTTTTGCGACTTATGATTGTGGGCGTGATTTCATTACTTTTGTTTTGTGTTTTGAAACAGACCCAAGCATTGTAGCAGAGGTCCGTTTGGCATAAAAAAACATTCCCAAAAATAAGTTTCGTTTTTTTTTTTTTGTTCCTTTTTTTTTTTTTTTTTTTTTTTTTTTTTTTTTCTTTCTTTCTTTTTTGACCTTTGGTGCTTTTTCTCCCATCAAGAACACTGAAGCAAAGGCTGGCACAAATAGTGTCTTAAAGAATTTTTTTGGGGCAGAGAAACGTACAAATCAATTTAAATTTAAATTTTTTACTTTACTAGTACTGCTATTATAGTCATTGAGGCATTGTTTGGTTAACACAAATAGTCCCTTAACATTCTATTGCCTCAGCAAAATTATTTTTCTAATTTTTTTCCTTAAAAAATAATTTTTTTTTTATCTTTTAAAAAAAATTGTCTTTTTTTTTTTCACCTCTATAATAATAAATACATCAATCCATAATGAATATTGTATTATTTAATTTTTTAAATAAATACTAATATACTAAATTGAATTATTTACAAAAATATATCCATTTGGTTGAAAAGTATTACCGTTGATAAATAGTACAACAAAATATTTAATCATTGTTTTTCCAAAAAATAAAATATTAGATAATAAACATTCTATTAAATAAAATTTCAGAACATATTAAAAACAAAAAATATATACATTTTGTTACAATGAAAGAATAATATAGTGATGAAATGAGCTACTCATATAAAATGAAAAATATAGCCATTTGAAAAATAGCCGTTAGAAATATAGTTAGTGTGAAAGTTAAGTTTAAACGTGGGGTTTCAGAAGCTGTTAGTTGATTTAATTGTGATTAGCTACTTTAATGACTTAGATGAGATTAATAGGTCAATTTGCCCAATTTTTGTGATTGATTAAATTACCCAAGCAATATAATCAATTTAAACATCCACAATCACAAAGATAAATATTGTAAAGTAAAGCAAGTAGAATTAGAGAGATTGCACCAGGATTTTTTGCAAGGAAATTGGTAAAATAGACTAATTGTTTGCGTAGGAAAAACCTCGTGGACTGTGCAATTTAAAGCAAACCAATCCACTATGTTTGAAACAAAGTACAATGGACTTTGACTTAGGCTCGCACCCTATCGTTCTACCAAACACCAATCGCTGACAGTCTTCTGGCTTTGTGATGTCCCGTCCAACAGCACTTGACTTCAGGCTTACTCTTGATCTATGTAGAAGGATTGTTGATAGATCAAATAACACTCCTCGAATTCTTTGACCCTTTTCAAAGTGTGATCGCTTTTACCCTTTTTCTTCAAGATCTAAACTTCGATGTAGAAGAATTAATCATGCTCTTTCAGAATCTCTGAATCTTCAATTAAGCTCCAATTCCGATGAGATAGAGTTCAACACTACTAAATCACTCATAAATATATGTGCATGCTCTCAAAAATAAATCTAGAATAATCAGATTTTATTTTCAGAAGTTTATTTCTCTAAAGGCTTTCTCAAAATAATGATTTTATGTTCCTCAAAGCCATACCTTAATAATGAATGAAAAAGACATTATATAAAAGTTTGGAAGACCTAAGCATACTTGTAAAACAAATGAAATTTGTGCATAGGCTTATGGAAGGAAGTCTAGATCAAAAAGAGATCAAAATGGATAAGGAAACTTAAGCTTCTAAACTGATCAGGAGTCCTTGAACCAGTTCAACAAATCCTCAGATGTTGAACCTGTTCCCTTAATTCTCAAACCTGTTCCATCAAATATTTGAACCTGTTCCCTTAATTGTTGAACCTGTTCAACTTGGGCAAAAAGTATTTTCTCCCTTAAACACTTCCAAAAACTTCCTAAGTGTTCTCACTAACTCACAAATCCTCCTAAAGCACTGTTCTCATCATCCCAGGGTGTAGTAAACTATGAACACTTGAACTTCTTCAAATGTGCATCCGATCTTCAATCTTGACATTTTGGACTGAAAAATTACAACTCAATCGGACTTATTTTGACAACAAAATTAGCTAATTACAAAATGTATATCTCACAATCTCCCCATTTAGCAATTTCGTGACAAACTCTAAAAACAATATGTGATCTACCCAAGCAGAAAAAGTATATTACAATGATTGTTAAAGGAATAAACTGTGAATTTTTTCTTAAACCTCATAAAGTTTCAACACTTGTATCAACCTGTAATCTGCACATTAGCTCAAACATAACTACCCGTGAAGCTTAATCAAGAAAATAAACACAAGCATAAAATAACAATGCTAATAATGCCTGAAACTCAATGCAATGTAATGTAATGATCAACGTGTTCTCCCCCTTAATGCAAAAATATCTCTCCCCCCTTAATGATATCAATCTTAATTCTCTCTCCCCCTTTTTGTCACAAATTAATAAGGGTCTAAAGGAAGAAATATCCTAAAAGTAAAAAGTATCCAACCATATAGAACTTGTAAATTGAAACTAATGAAAAAATAGACTCCACAATACTATATGTATTAACACAAATAACCAAGATCAATTCAATGAAGTTCCACAAACTTAGTAAGTGTAGTAAAATCATCACCAAGTTCCAAAACATATGAACTGTCTACTGTTTAGATTTCAGATAATAAATCAATAATATTACATATCCTTAGAAATTAAATAATCAACATGTGCAAAAGATTTTTTTTTTTTTCTCTCTCTCTTTTTGTGCTTCATTTTTCTTTTTGCACATTGGCGGCTTTCACATTTGTGGGCAACCAGCTCTTTCCCTTATTTCTATTTGTTTAGAGTCAAGGTAGTTTCGAACAATTCCCAAAGGTAGCCTTTTCCATCTCTCAATTTTTTTTCAACAGCAATTTTTTTTTTTTTTTCAAACACTTTTTATTCTAAGCTGTTTTTCATTTTTTTATTTCATTCTTTTTGGCTCAAACACATACATCAAGTTTAAATTTCAAGACAATGATCAATCATGTCAACATTATCTTTGACCAAAATAATGACATCAAACACAAGTAAATGAACTATCAATAATCCATTTACTATACGAAACAAGTATGTAAAACCAATTTCATCTATTCATAGCCACAGTATGTTTTACACATATAATCCCTGTGTCATGAAACTCCTTGTGTTTAACATACTCAATCAATATGGTTTGCTTAACTTACCAAAAACATAATCTAGACACTCAAGATATGCATGAAAATCTTTTCTAAATTATATCTTTGCAATGCATCTAATCAAGATAGCAAACGCCTGTAGATTTCCTCAAATGAAAAAATTTAGGAGCATCTAATGGCTTAGTGAGGTGCCAATCAAATTCTGAACAGTATGCATTTTTTCCAAAGACACGACATTTTGTTCAACAAGTTCCCTAAGAAAGTGATAATGAATGTCAATGTGATTAGTCCTATAATTCAAAACTAGATTCTTTGAAATATTAATTATACTAGTATTATTACAAAAGATTGCAATAGTACCTTGATCAACTCCATAATCCAAAAGTGTCTGTATCATCCAAAGCAATTGTGTGCAACAACTTTCAACAACAATATATTCAGCCTCACAAGATGATAAAAATATGCAATTTTGCTTTTTGTTGTACCATAAAACAAGAGTAGTACCAATATAGAAACAACCACTTGAAGTACTCTTTCTATCATCCTTGTTATCAGCCCAATTAGCATCAGTATAGCCTGCAATCTCAGAGTTAGATTCAGAAGAATAACGCAATCCATAATTCAATGTACTATTGACATAACGAATAATGCGCTTGACTGCAAAAAACGTGTTATTCTCTAAGATCAGCTTAATACCTAGCACAAACACCTACACTAAATTAAATATCTGGCCTACTTGCTGCTAAATATAACAAGCTACCAATCATACTCCTATACAAGGAATGATCAACCTTGTTAGGATCAGAGTCTCTATCCAATTTGGATAAAGTACTAATAAGAGTTTGCACATGTTTTGAATCTTTCATACCAAATTTCTTGACTAGCTCCTTTGCATATTTTGATTGAGATATGAAAATCCCATCATCAAATTGTTTCACTTGGAGATCAAGAAAGAAAGTCAGTTCACCAACCATGCTTATTTCAAAAGTATTACTCATATTTTTAGCAAAATCATGAACAAGGTTATCATAAGTATATTGCACCAAAAATAATATCATCCACATAGATTTGAGCAACAGGAAAATCTTTTCTTTTTCTGAAAATAAACAATATTTTATCCGCTACTCCTCTTCTAAAGCACTTGTGTATTAGATAAGAAGTTAACTTCTCATACCATGCTCTAGGTACTTGCTTTAAACCATAAAGAGCCTTTTAAAGATGAAAAACATAATCAGGATTATGTGGATCAATAAAACCTTTTAGTTGTGCTACATAAACCTCTTCCCGCAAAATACTATTAAGAAAAGCACATTTTACATCCATTTGAAACAATTTGAATTTAAAGTGACATGCAAGAGCAAAAATAAGTCGAATAGACTCAAATCTAGCAACAGGTGCAAAAATCTCATCAAAATCAATTCCATCAACTTGAGTATATCCTTGTGTAACCAACCTAGCTTTATTTCTCATTACAAGACCATGTTCATTAAGTTTATTTTAAAAAATCCATTTGGTCCCTATGATATTAACATCACTAGGTCGAGACACTAATTCCCAAACATCATTTTTCACAAATTGAAGCAATTCTTCTTATATAGACATAAGCCAATCAGAACTTTGAAGAGTTTCATCAACATTCTTTGGTTTAAACTAAGCCATGTGACATGAGTGTCCTATATCATCTACCATGCATGAGTGTCCTAACTGATTATGAATTGTACTCCTAGTACCCGGTTTATCCCATGGACCTATCACATTGTCAACTAGATAACTCGAACTACTAAATATGGGAATGTCTAAAGAAGGTGCAAGAATTCTTGTAGGTTCATCACTGGTGACCTCTAATTCCTCATCAACCTCTTCACCTAAATTCTCAACTCTTTTTTCTTCATGAATTGTAGGTTCTTTTCTCTCTCCTACAATTTCAAATTTTATCTTATCCTCATCAAGTTGAGTAGAGATTACCTTAAGTCTTGTATCATTAAACATAACATTAATGGACTCCATAACAACTTTGGTTCTAAGATTAAAAACACTATAAGCCCGACTTGTTTATGAATAACCCAAAAATACACCTTCATCACTTCTAGAGTTAAATTTTTCTAAGTGTTCACTATCTTTAAGGATATAACATTTACTTCCAAATACTCTAAAATATTTAACAGTGGGCTTTTTATCGTACCACAATCATATGAAGTCTTTTTAGTTCTAGGACTAAGATAAACTCTATTTAGGATATGTCAAGCAGTACACACTGATTCAACCCAAAAATGACTAGCAATTTTATTCTCATGAAACATAGTACGTATCATACCTGCTATTATCTTATTTTTTCTTTCCACTACACCATTCTGTTGTGGTGTTTTAGGTGCAAAAAATTCATACTTAATGCCAAACTTATCATAATATTCAACAAACTCCTTAGGTTCGAATTCACCACCATTGTCGCCCTTAATTCGAGTAATTCAATATC